GAATTTGGACAGATAATACTATTATCATTCATGAGTCTCAGGATGGCTTCAGGAGTAAATATTCCACTGTAGATAATATGTTTCTGCTACAATCTTTGTGTTAAAAGTATCTTCGAAAGTCAAGACATCGGTCTTATGCGGCCTTCATAGATGGTTTAAACATATTTTTATTCTTGAAAGAATCTGGTTTCGTAAAAAAGCAAAGCTTTCCTTTGTTGAATACCTCACCAGTACAAATATAACACAAACAGATCACACAAGAACTAGACAAAAGACAGAATGAAACTGACAAAATGAAAATCTAAAATCGGAACATCGTATGTGCATTGAGAGTTGTAATTAACAACGCGCTCGCAGTTACGTTTCATTACTTTTTGTTAAGATAATTGTTTTCGTTTCGACCGTTTTATCGAAACGTTTAGTCTTGCAAATGAATTGGTGGAGAAACTCTATAATCTTCTTATTTTCTTTTTTGGTAGTTGGCGGTGTTCCGTATGACACAGTTTGGAGGCTGTGACCACTTACATAACAGTATGCATTATTTATGATGGCAGTATATAATTTACATGTAAAGAGATAATGAATAACATTTTCATTGTGGTATCCACAAGCGCATTCAGCATTAGTTGATATATATATATATATCTGTTGACTTTATCCGCATTTAGATCACTGCAGCCGAGCTTGAGACGATTGTGTACAATTTGGCAAAATCGGCTACCATAATTCAGGTCAAGATAATTGTTGGATTCATAATTTATTAACAGAGTTTTAAATTCGCATATTGTATTAGCATTCGCGACGTCGTCAGGCAACGAATTCCAAATTTTAATTGTGTCTGGTAGGAATGATTTTTCATAAGTTTTTTGTCTTACAGTTTATTGTTTGTAACTTGTGATTGTTTCTGAGATTGTATTGACTGTTGTCAGAAACAGTTTTAGGTACAAGTTCACATAAGTAGCCTGGGGCGAGATTGTTATTCATTTTGTAAAAGTTTACCAATTTGATGTCACGCCTTCTTTCTTTTAATGGTTTTCTTTAGTTTCAAGATATAAGTTTTCATGACTAGTTCCACGAACCGCGCCACATATGGTGCGGAGTGCATCTAAGTGTAACCGTTCAAGGAGAAGTGATTGATCAATCGTACAGTTATCCAAAACATAACAACAGTAATCGAATATCGGCATCACGAATTACTTGTACATGGTTTCAAGCGTTTTCCCAGAAAGGCGATATTTGAAACCTCGGAGACAGTTTATCATGGGACTGACTTTGTGAACAATATCTTCAATATGACTTTTCCATGCACAATCTCTCTGAAGAATTATGCCTTGATGTTTATGATTTTGGACTTCTTGTATCGGGGTTTGATGCATGTTTAAGGTCGGAATCCTATCAGTTTTATGCCTGTGAGAAAAAATTACTGTTTCTGTTTTATTAGGGTTAAAGTTAACCTGCCACATTTCTGCCCAGTTTGAGATTCGGTTTAGATCATCATTGAGACAAGCTGCGGCAACATTGTGATCATCTACAATTACATATATTGAGGTGTCATCCGCAAAGAGACGAATGTGACTTTCTATTCCATTTACTATATCGTAGATGTACACAATGAAGAGGAGTGGTCCCAAGACGGAACCTTGGGGGACGCCAGCGAATACAGTTTTATGATCAGAGCAATTTCCAATAATGACAACTATTTGTGATATATTTTCTATGTAACTTTCAAACCAATTCAAAAGAGATCCATCGATACCATAGCTTTTAAGTTTTGATATTATGCCTTTTTGCCAAACTTTATCAAAAGCCTTACTTATATCACAAAAAACGGCTCTGACCTCTTTACCATCATCAAGGCCTTTCGCAATAAAATCATACAAGTAGGTTAACTGATTTGCGGTAGAGTCGCCCGGCATAAAACCCGATTGTAAATTGGTAAGGATATCATTATCTCTGAAGTAATTAAAAACATATTTAAATACACATTTTTCAAAAACTTTAGACAGACAACTCGTAAGCGCGACCGGGCGGTATTTGGAACATTCATTAACACTATTCTTTTTATGAAGAGGTATGACTGACGCTTCTTTCCAGATGGATGGAAATTTAGATTTTTGAAGAGACAAGTTAAATAATTTCGTTAGCAAAGGAGATAAACGTTTCGCAGTTGCTCTGAGATATCGATTCCCTAAACCATCTACCCTGTTGCTTTTGATGGATCAAGGGAAAGAAGAATGTCTTGAATCTCTTCCAGTGTAAGATTATTAGAACTAAGTGTATCTGCAGTAGATGCAAATTGGATGTCTGGAGGTTGTAAATCCGGATAGTCTGCTGTAGCTTGGTTTACAAAGAAATCATTTAAAACATTAACAATGACTTTGGGGTCTTCGTAGATAACATCATTTGATATGATTGGCGGAAAGTAGTTGCATTCAGATTTTCTTTAAACATATTGTTTGACCATACGCCACCAAGTCTTAGTACCTACGGATGTATTTATTCTGTCATTTATTCTCAAATCACACTTTCTTTTAGAGTCGCGTATCAAACTGATCACTTTGTTTCTACTTGATCGGAAATTTACCCAGTCGGAAGGACGATTACGTATATTAGCTTTGTTATGGAAACTGTTGCGTTTTCGCATTGCAGAACGGATTTCGTTACATTAAACAGTCTATTCGGTGTTGTGATATTTAAAATATGCTTTACTTTGGTCGTTAGATCTTCAGCTACTTTGTCAATATCAGAAGAAAACATTTCGGCTGCATCAATTTCATTAAGACGTCTACGAGTACGTTCTGTATCCATTGAATTAATGTCGTAGGCAGTTCTTTTAGTTGTTGCCTCAACTTTATTAAGTTTATCTCTTATCGTCATATAGATTGGACAATAATCACTACATACAGGGTCCAAGACGCCTGAGCTAAGCACGTTATTTTCATGTGTAACAAAAATGAAATCAATTAATGTGCTAGAGCTATGCGTAATTCTTGTTGGTGCATTGATAATCTGACTTATCCCATACAAACGCTTCAGTGTTTCAATCTTAATTTTGTTTTCATTTAGAATATCTATGTTAAAAAATCGCCGGTGATAACGGTAAACAGATTTAAATCGATTGCCATTCCAACTGAATGGTCAATCAGATCCCAGTACTGTTCGCTTTTGTCCGCGCGATAAAACGTACCGATGAGATAATTTCTGGTTTTAAATTTTATTTTTTCCCATAACGCTTGTAGACCAGCAATGTCTAATGCTTCCATACTCTCCACACATAAGTGTTGCTTAACACCACGCCGCCGCCTCGTGTTAAACGGTCTTTTCTAAATGGTTTATGAAAACCTTGAATTAGTAAATCGTCTGTATGGACGGTATCATTGAGCCATGTCTCTTGAGCCTTCATAGATTATCGTAAGGCGTTTGATTTTGCAGACAGACAGAAGTTATTGTATGTGTTACATTATAAGGGTGTTGTTGGTAAAATGTGGTGACCGGACAAAATCCACCCGGACAAAATCCATCCCAAAATTGCCACCCCGGACAAAATCCACCTCTTCTTAACAAAAAAATGGAAACCCTTCTCAAATTGCTATTGTTAAATGTTTTAGTTAGTCCTGATCTTTGATCGAGTTGTTTTTCTCATTTGATAGGATTTACGTTTTCCTAATTGGCTGTTGTTCCTAGATGTTGTTTCAAACATTAAAGGTTTCTCCATTTGTCACATTTTGATCACTACTTAATCCTCTTTCATGTATCATTAAGTAGTCTCACACTTTGAGTTTGAGTTTGAGATCATCCTGTTTATTTTAAATGAGTTTGAGATCATTTACTTAAGATAAAGGCTTCTATAGTATATATATAGTTTGTGTCAAAAATGCCACTTCACCATACATCATGGAAGTGATACGGAACAACAAGGGTGGTTAGAAGTTGCTAGATCATGGTTATTCGTACATAAAGAATATATATTTATATATGCAAAAATGTGCTTACGTATGTATTTTGGTTGTTTTTGTTAACGATTATGAATGACTGATATGAATACAATTCATTTCTGTGACTAAACATGTCATTAGTTTTTTTTTCTTAGGGTGGAATTTATTAGGGATGGATTTTGTCCTAGGTTGCAATTTTGGGGTGGATTTGGTCCTGGATTCGTAAAATGTATAATCTCCTGCAAGATATGTATGGTAAAGTCAAGGCATGTATAGCAATGAATAGGTGTAAAACTGAATCGTTTTCAACATCTTGCGGCGTTCGTCAAGGCTGTATGTTAAACCCTGTTCTATTCACTCTAGTCATTAACGAGTCGGCTATAGAATTTAGAAATAATAGTTTAAGAGGTATTTTTGTCACTGATTAAATAGAAGATATTCTCTTGTTATTTACTAATGACGTAGTGTTGGTAGACGATTCAGTTAATGGGTTACAACAAAAATTAGATTTCTTACACAATTATTGTTTGAAGTGGGGTTTAGAGGTTAACTTAGATAAAACAAATATAATAGTGTTTCGAAATGGAGGGTATTTAGAGAGCGTAGAGAAGTAGTATTATTCGGGTAAAGAGGTTAAAATAGTCAGACTCACCTATTACAAATATCTTGGTATTGTATTTTCCTCAAGATTAGTTTGGTCTAAGGCTTGTGAAACTCTTTCAGTTCAAGCTAGGAAGGCTTTGTTCCAAGTTTATGAATTAAATAAAGTTTATCCTAAACTCCCATTTGGTGTAGTCCAGAAAATATTTGATACCAAAACAATGCCTATAATATTATATGGCTCGGAAATATGGGGTTTCACTTTTAGAGGAGATATTGAGAAAGTCCAAAGTATATTTTTGAATATTTCTAAATTGACTCCGACTCGTGTTGTATTGGGTGATGTTGGGAAATATCCAGGTTGTGTAAGTTATTTCAGTCGCTGTGTCGGGTATTGGTGTAGGCTTCTTTGTATGCAACCAGGTCGTTATCCTAAAGCGTGTTACAGAATGCTCAAGTTGTAAGATAGTAATGGTAAAGCAAACTGGGTAACAGGGTTTCGTATGTTATTGTTTTCGGTGGACTTTTCTTATGTTTGGATATCACAGGATTGTGGCAATTATGATATATTTATGCATACCTTTTCGACACGCTGCAAGGATATACAGTTCCAGGATTGGCATGGTAGGCTATCGGAAAGAACTGATTTCGCCTTTCATACTAGCTTTAAATCTTTGTTAGACACTGAACGATATGTCGTAGAACTGTTTAGTCAAAATGATTTATTGCGAATATTTTGTAAATTTAGATTCTAGTCACACAAATTAAAGATTTGTAAATTAAGGTACGATAATAATATTGATACCGACCAACTTTATGCTCTAGTGTTGTAGAAGATGAGTATCACTTTGTATTAGTTTGTCCATTTTATAAGCATCTAGGAGAGCAACTTATCTCTCCTTATTATTTCACGTGTCCTACAAGGGTAAATTTGTATCAGCTGTTAACGTCTAACAATCCTGAACATATACAAAATCTGTCCATATACTTGAAACGAAATCTGCCAACTTGAGCTGCCACGCATACGATATTGAAATGTACTTTCATTTGCTTTTGGCCATGAGGCCTTATCACACAATAAACTTGTCACTTGTCAAAATAGGATGCATTCTGCCCCGGTTCCAGGAAGAGGGGGCGGTGGGGTAGCGTAGTGGTTAAAGCGTTGGCTCGTCACGCCGAAGACCCGGGTTCGATTCCCCACATGGTTACAATGTGTGAAGCCCATTTCTGGTGTCCCCCGCCGTGATATTGCTGGAATATTGCTAAAAGCGGCTTAAAACCACACTCACTCACTCACTCCAGGAAGAGGGAAGAGCGATTAGGGTTATCCAGCACTCACCACGAGGAAGTTGCCATTCACGGGTGACTGTTTCAACTAGTATGTTGAAATTTCAACATATTTCATGCATTTTTAAGATACTCATTTGAAGTATATTTGAAGATATAGCGTACCACGTACAGAATATATGAGAATGATGTACAAATTCTAGTACTCAACCCACAAAAAGTGCTAGAATTTGTACTTTACTCAGAAAGTGTAATCCCAAATGTAACATATGTTGCATTGACCACTTTCTAAATGGCACTGAGTTACCATAGCTCTCGGCCGTGGGAGCCGTGCCAATTGACACTTATCAGAGGGGTACACAAAGTCAGCAGTCTAGACTACCAGCTGTCCGACTTCCATTTTTTGTCGAAGTCGCGGTGGCTAAGCGGGTTAGGCGGCTGACTTTGTTTGCTGGCGATTTGGTGACTGACTCTGAGGGTGTGGTTTCGAATCCCGGATGGGACTCAACGGTGACGTTTTGGAAAGAAATATTATATTTGTATTGTTTTTGCCGCAGCAATTCCAATATTCTCCAAATCACCTGTGCGTTTCTGTTTTTGAAGAATAAATAATAATCAAACCTTCCATTTTACTACAACTACAGTGGACTCTGTATAATCCGACATCTGAATTATCTGACAATCTGTGAATTCCGACATATTCTTTGGGTCCCGGCAGCGTTCTTCTATATTATCATCATTTAAACATTGAAAATCCGACATCTGTACATTCCGAATTCCGACACCATTTTCTGGCCCCCAATGACACTATTAATCTGTACAATCCGACATCCTGTCCCCATATTGGACTAAAATAGCCAATCAACCTGTCAATGGCCAGGTGACAACAAACATCCTGTTACTTGTAATCTCAGCACTTGCTCATTGGGAGGTAATAAGCAGTGTGAGAACGCCTGTACCTTTGTCTTTTTTTTGGGGTGTGTCCCCAGTTTGCCAGCGGGTATTGTTTACAGGTTCCAGGTCACTGCATCGTGCTAATCTCTTAAAACAACAGGTGATCACACCGTGAGGACCTAGGTATGTTTTGGCAAGCATAGGATGAATGGGCTGAGAAATTGAATTCAAGGTCCTGAGTCTTGCCTCGCAGTGTTACGGCTCCAGACTACCTTGTTGAGCTAGTCACCAAGCACAATCCTTCCAGAATGTTAAAAATCGGCAGATAGACACCTTCTCACCATTCCCAGACAGAAACTCCGGGCATTCGGGTTTCGCTCCTTCAGCTATGGTGCTCCACAGTTGTGGAATCAACTCCCGACTGAACTCAAAATGTCTCCCTCCATTGACTCATTTAAAACCCATCTTTTCAGAAAATATTACAATCTATAACTTAACTTTCCAAAAATTTGACCCTCGTTCTAGCATAACCTTTGCTTTGTAAATATTTGTAAATATGTAGCGCTTTGAGCATGCCTTATGTGTTGAATTCAGCGCCTTATAAATACACATAATATTATTATATAAAAGGGATTAATTATTTTGTGAGATCAGTTACCAATGAGTCCGTGGTGTCAACTTGAATTGTCACTGTCAGTCTACAATAGTGGTGGTCCGATTAATTGAAATAATCGAAGATTGGTCGCAGTGACTAAACAACCAAGCAATTTATCATGTTTTCTCATAATCGAACACAAACAAGTCTGGAACACTTGTTTTCATACACAATATTTTTCACAAGGTTGGTTTTGTCTGTTACATTTCATAAGCACTACAAGCTCGTTTCAAGTCATGATTGAATTTATCTTAAGGACTCCAAGAAATTTATGTTCCTGACATACTAGTCATCCATTAAAGATGTGGAATTTTGCCAAAACACCCCAAAAAAGAACTACATTCCTTATTTTTATGTGCATTAACAAATTTCATTAATGACGCTAACCAATTTTTTCGATGATTGATCGGTTGTAATAAACCAATCATCAATTATGAGATTTTAACCAATTCCCAACACTAGTCTACAACGAGGGAGTGCAGAGAAAGGGACAGCCAGGTGTTCAAGAACGGATGGAGACGGCACAGCACAGGTGAATGAATAAATAACTTTGTCTGTGAACGTGCTTCTCGAACACCTGGCTATCCCTTTCTCTGCACTCCCTCGTAACAAACATTGAACTGTGTCAATATTTTAATGATAGTTTGTTATTTTTAGGACAAAACTTCTGCAAAAACCTCACAGAGTGGGTATGATGTTTTGATTATGATCAGCGTTTGATTGAGTATGTTATGTTTATTAGTTTTCAAGTTAGATTGCAATTCATCGGTCCGCTTTTGAGCCAAACGGACTGTAATTGTACTTACTTTTCATCGATGCAAATAAGAACAATAAGTTATCTGCAGTAGACGAGCATCATTTACATGTGTACACACTTCCAAGGATATGTGTTGAAACGGGAACATGTTTTGCTAAAATTGTTATTCCCACAAACAAAAGTTTTACAATCGTTATTATTCAGTGGTCCATGCATGTATACATAGTTTGCATGGACTTAGTGGGATCTGTAGATCGTGGGTTCGAGTTCCATTGTTTTCCCTCATTCAGTGCGAATTAAGATGTAGTGACAAATAAACCCAAACGATATCTTTAGTAGGGCTGGATATTGCCCTGATTCTCATATTGCGATATATTGCAATAATTTAAGTGATATTGCAATATATATTGTAATATATTGAATGGAGGGTTTCTGCCCAAGTGCGTACATCATAAATTCTTAATAGCTCTGTGTGAGCGCGACATTATCTTCTTAGTTGCTGTTACACCATACTTTCAGGCTCCAAGTCCTCATTGTGCATGGCTGTATGCCAATGGTTTACAGATAAATAAAATGATATAGAACCTTAATGTGTCTTAGAAGATAAAGCTACTGCTTTTCAATTTTGCGGTCCTTTATCGTTGATTTAAGACCGCTAAATTAAACATTAAGCCGGTCTTAAATCAACGATAAAGGACCGCAAAATTGACAACAGAGTAGCTTTATCTTCATTCTAGCACGACTGAAAAGCGTTCTAAAACCGAACTGTTTGGCGTCCAAGAACACAAGGCATGAAGGGGCCTTTTTCCTGGAAATCGCTTGGAATCGTTCCGTTGCAATTGAGGGACAGGTTGTGTAATGAACAAAATAAGACATTTTCAACAACATAAATGCTTTATTTCAAGAACGAGTATGCTTGTATTTGTAAGAAGTATCATACACAAATAAAAAAATACAGTTTATACTGTGAGCAAGTACAATTATTTGATTTTTCTAAAGCGAATTATTGATCTCCCCTACTCTATGACAATCGAATCACCCCAGTTCAAGCCGTGAACTCGCAAAGTTTAGTCGCCTCTAATTTTATTCACGGAAATAATTGTTGATAACCCCCCTACTATGCCCAATTTGGAGAAGACCTGACATGCCACGTTTAATGTGGGATACATGGACAGTGGAAGTGGAAGGACTGGGCATTACGGCCGGGACGGAAGCGGTCAGGTTTGGACGTATGGGCCGACGCGTGTTGTCGACGTCATGCCCGCTAGATCTAGATCCGGCTTGAATATACTGCCGCTTTAGCGCTGCTGACGGATTTTCCAGCTTCGTAGTTTCTCCACTGGGATTAGGGTAAAAAAATTCTTCCTCAAAACCAAAGGTGCTGCCGAGGTAGAAATGTGCCTATGTCCGACATGTTTGTTTACAAACAATAGGGTCAACAAGTTCGTTGTATTATCAAGCGGTCAATCGGTCACTTCATTAGCGGTCTTAAACTGCCATTTAAGTACGGTTTTGATTAGCTCTCAGCCAATCAGAATCGAGTATCACACCATGTCGTGCTAGAATGTTTAATTGAGGTATTGAAACAAAGGTTTGAGAACATAATGATAAAGTATATGATAAACGTATCCAAACACTTAATTTGACAAAAACTTTGATCTGGTTTGGCTTTTTAGGTAAGAACCCATTACTGAACTACATAATCTTATCTGCTAAGAGATATATTTACACTTGCTCTTTGAAAAAAACAATTCCAAAGGATATTTAAGGATATTGAAAGACATATTGAAAGACATAAGTATAGTAACAGAAAACATAAGTTTCATGGTCAGTGATTATAAGGGGGTCAGCAGTTTTTGTACACACGTTGTTGTTGTTTATTTTATATTTTTTTGGGGGGGAGTGTTCAGCAAGTTTGTACACAACACTATGTTTAAAATTACGCTAAGAAATTATGGGAAGGGGAGGGGGGTAATTGATTTTGTACATGACATGGGGGGTGTTCACTTAGTTGGTACATAAATTTAGGGTAGGGGTGGGGTAATTCACATTGTACATGCTTCTCCATAAAAATCATCACCCTCCAAGCCATAAATTATGAGCGGTCCCTTAACTCAGTGGGGTCTCGTATAGTGCAAGCCGGATATAGTGTGCTGTACGTTCGTGCTTTGGCTCATTTTTTGTTTTTGGTTACTGTGAGTATAGTTCAAGTCCTAAAATGAGCAAAACACTTCTTCTTACTCTTATAAACTATAATTCACTGCTAATTCGAATAATGACCCTCTAAATTCTTTCAAATATCAAAAGCGCATCGCCGATTTTGCTCCTTCGCAGAAAACACCGGAAATAAAGTCACAATATGCCTTAATTTCGCAGTTTCTTGGTATAATTTGACAACATATGAAATATGTGATAAATAAGCTTTCAAATGGTGTGAAATATTCCTAACATAGAGTATTTGTTTCTTTACACGAGAGTTAAAAGTTACCCACCTATGCATCATCACCGTACAAGTTGATAGCCGCTAATAAAGTTGGTTGATAGCGCTTTTAAAGAAAATCACTGTACGGGTTTCTAGTTAGTTAATGTTATCATTTCTAAATAATTGAAGGTCCTAATTATACATTTTGCATCATTTTTCTCTTACTTCTAAATTCAACACAGGTCGACTAAATGAACATCGTAGTTTGCTATTATTCTGATTTTCGGACAAGTTATTTCAACATTATCAGTGACCACTTTATTATCAATCACCCATCCAGTGGATTAAAATACAAATTCTAATATCTGATCTTAATGTTTTTTTCTTCAAACCCAAAATTTCAAACTGAAGTATTCAGTCCCCTTAAGAAAAAGTCTAAATTCGATATGAAGGAGGGTGTGTTTGGCCAAATGCAAGCCTTGTCAATGAATGGGTAAACAGAATATATACATACGTTGAATGTGTCCAAATATATCAATAAAGAGCACCATTGAATAAGCTCTCAGTCAGGACGTAATTCAGCTATGCGGTATATTCCATACAGAGAAACAAACAGTTTCGGCTATAATCCAGTACAGTGATGCTGCATTGTTGCCAGTGAATTCATTGATATCGTCATAACTAAACAACTTTGAAAATTCACACACACATTGTAGAATCTATTACGAATAGAATACTGGTAGCTCTTCGGCCAACATGATGGTATATGGGAGTAGAAGCGAAAGCGCACAAGTTTATCGAATTTGGCCCGATGCGCAAGAGGTGAAAAAAATTGTGTTTTCATTAACATACAAATATCTCGCTAATAATTACTGTAACTTTTATATCGAAGTTATCTAATGTTGTAGCTCAGCCTATTTGCATGTAAAATTATACTGTATTTGTCTTTAAATGCACGTTTTTGATCGAGCATACCTGTTCAGACGACATATCTATGAACCAAAGCAAGAGCGTACAGCGCACTATATCCGGTTTGCACTGTATGGGATCATACACTGTGCTTAATTCCTCCAAAATGTCACATATGAAACCATTCAAACCCACAAAACGTAACGCATTTGGTAGAATATTTGGCACTTTTGGAGCCACTTATACAGATACTCCCACATGTAAAATGTTACATGAAACCAACAGAAATATATTTGGCCCTTTTAGAGCACATTGTTTTGTTTGGAAATCAAGGGCAGATAATGCAAAGGGAGCTAACTCTGGATGACCCGATATATTGCAGAATCTGAACCACATCGCGATAATCGTATCGCGAGATACTGTACATGTATACACCGGTTTACCGGTAATATTGCACAGCCCTAAACTTTAGAATCTACTTTTACGTCATAATGTGTGTTTTTATTGCCTCAGAATGTCTATGCTCAAAGGGCTAATATCATACGACCGGTCACATGTTATTAATTCTAAGCTCCCGGGTAACACTGGTATTGTCATGTCGCTCCCCTGACTACTAAGTCAACAGATGAATGTTATGAAACCACTTGCCTTGCGCGACATGTGCCACACATGCTCCATGGGTGTACAGGACCAAGTCCTAGAAACTCTCATCAGTTG